TTATGCTGTCTAAAAAAAGCTAGCTAGTGGAGTGCAGCGGCCAACTTCCAACACTCTGAAGGCAGAGCTAGGAAGACTGCAGGTTCCAGAGAGAGAGAGGAAGAAGATGGGGAGCAGGAGAAAAGAGAAGAGACAGAGAGACAGACAGAAAGACACAGAGAGATTGAGACATCAAGATATTCACCTTTGCCAGTTACTGATTACTTATATTTAGTCATTTCCTTTCAAAACTATTACTATAGTTTCCCATTCACATGTTTGGTACCTGAGCTAGGATACCCCAAAAGCCACATGTAGCTAAGACCGCGACTATAGTGCCTGGTTCTGTGAGGGTCTTTCTCACACCATTGTAGCCTCTGGGAAATCAAACTTTTGCACAGTGGCTTAGGACTCCAGATCGAGAATGTCTCAATGAAGGGTGCAGAAGTTAGATAGCATTGTGTCCACTATGCTAGAGGGGGGGTGATCCAACCAAACCCACACACATTCAATGGAACAAGATGCTCTTCCCTGTCAATGGGAATGTAACAGAAGAATCTAGAGTCACGTTTTAAATCTGTCACACTCAAAAACATACTCATAAGTAAATACAGATGTGTGCACACATGTGAGTATTAAGTCTGCCTTCCAGTCTCTGTAATTCTTGCAACAAACCAATAACTGGCGATTTTGGCTTGCCCAGGGTCACAAAACTAGCTGGTAACAAATGCAGGATTCAAGGGCCTCACAGCAACTCCCGGGCTCATCCTACAAAGCCACTTGAAAGGATACTTCATTTTTTTTTTTTAGAGTTCACACTTGTAATTCCAATTATTTTGAGTTGATATCAATATGAATGATTCCCTAGAAAATTAAGCAAAGCCAAAAACTTATTATTATTTAAATAAGCACAATTTACAAATCAGAACAACCCTGGCAGACTGAGTTTCAAATGGAAAGCAATCATGTTCAGAGATTGACTCATCCATCCTAAGGCATTTTTTCTAGACTAATAGGATGGAAACCGGTGGGTGGTTCTTTGTGGGTTTGTTTGTTTGTTTGTTTTTCTGGGCTTCTTCTATCGCTGACCACGTCAGTCCAGTCACTCTTATTTGCTAGAAGCACCAGCTGATTCACGTCAGTCCAGTCACTCTTATTTGCTAGAAGCACCAGCTGATTCAAGTTATCTGAGGAACTGACTCAGCTCTGTGTTCTGTGGCACACATAAAGACACTGCCGGAGACACTGTCTCCAGAGGGCAAGAAAGGGGCTTCTCTTTTCCCTGCAGTGTCTGTTACTCAATACCCATCACAACAGGCTATTCTAGAACACATGCTGCAACCATCTCACTCCATGGCTCCTTTAAACCAAACATGGAAAATAGATCATGTACAAGTCAAGTTGAAGATGTGACCTTCTGCCCAATCAGCCAAGGGGTCATTTCAACCTGATCTCAAAGGTTGACCGTTGAAAGCAAATAGAGAAGCATAATTACCAATTTTGTAAAAGCATCATATTAGAAGGGTATTAAAAAATCCATTACCACTTGTAATTTCTATTTAATTTCTCAAAGTCACAAGGCCATCCCATTCATATGTGATAATGACCTTCCCAGGATGCCCTGCTAACCTACTCCATGATTTTTACAAAATTTGTACAAAGATGGTTTTTCTGAAAAGGAATGCTTGCCGGCGATGTTTCCAGGGTCTGTGTTGATGAGATTCATATTCTGGCAAAGTCTTCCTGTCTGTCTGGGGAGGCTGAGATTTGCTCTTACAAGAGGGGTGAGATAGAAAAGGAGCCCCCCAAAACAGGTTTTCTTTAAAATAAACAATCTTTGCAGGTTCTAAATTCTTTCATGTGATTTAAACAAGGGGATAAAACAACTGCATGAATATACAATCTTAGAAAGCTGTAAAATTCGTTTTAGTGTCAAATGAGTTATCACTGATATTCAAATGAGCAATTTCCAACAAACTGATTTGTCTCTTGGGCTACGTATTGTCACAAGAAGGACAGGATTTCTGCCTTTGTGACAGAAAAAGCTGTGCCACAAATATATATGACAACACTTTATCAGAGAGAAAGAACCGAAGAGGGAAAAAGCAGAGAGATACAAGAGGGTGCCTGCCTGGGTGAGCAAGCAGGCCAGGTAAAAAGCAAGGAACAGAACCGGGGCGGGGTGAGGGTGCAGCTTGAATCATCCCTTATAGCTCCGCCTCAGCTAAAGAACATTTTATAATTCCACCTGAAAATGTTGTGGGCAATAGGAATAAAGGAAGGCCGAGCAGATTTGATGATCTGGCTAAGCCCATGTTCCTAGATGAAAAAAAAAAAACAAAAAACAAAAAACAAAAAACAAAAAACAAAAAAAACCCAAACATATGAATAGCATGATTGCATAGGACTTGGTGGCTGGCCACAGCGGCTCACACCAGCAGGCCCAGCACCTGCCTGACTGACTCTGCACCTGCCTGACTGACTCTGAGATAGCCTGATCTGCATACTAAGTTCTGGGCTAACCAGAGCTACATAGTGAGACCCTGTCGAAAAATATAAAATAAATAAATTAAAACACCATGGGCTGAGTTTTAAGTCTGGGTATTTCTTCCTGGGGTAGAATTGATTTTGTAATTTTCATCTGATAACTTCTTCTCCTGCAAAGGATCCAACTTGCTGAGCTGCCAACGGTGGTTCACACCTATAATCCCAGTACTCAGGAGGCAGGAGGATTGCTGTAGGTTTGAGGCCAGCCTGATCTACAGTGTAAAACTCTGTTTTAACAAACAAAAATGAACACAAACAAGATGTCCCGTTGGGTAGTGGTGCGTGCGCACGCACGCACACACACACAAACACACATACACATACATACAGCAAATATTTAAAATAAAAAAAAAATCAACCCCAAGACAAATCCAATTTGATGAAATAAAAGGATTACAAATTTGAAACAAAATATAATAAGAGAAATCTTTGGTGTGTACACAAACAGATATTCAATCTCCGATGGGTTTTCCTAAGCCCTGATTGCCTGCATCCCTCACCACAGAAGCTGGACCATATAATCAAGTCACCATGCCAAAGAAGATTATAAAATATTTCTTATGACATGATCTGCTTGTAGTCCTTCTTTCTGTGGGATATCAATCCCTCAACAGATACTCTCTTATTATCTTTTCTGTTTTCCAGGCGCGATGGGTAAGTCATGTTCCATTCAAAACTTAAATGTATCATAGGCCGACACTCTGTACAAGGAGTTTCTATATCAGTGTATGTCTCCTGCTTGATTAAAACCAAAGGAATAGCTTTTTCGAGAGTTTTGCAAACAGGGACAAAGCCCTTCACATATAATTTAATACTGACAGTTTCCTTGTGAGGCAGGTGGAGAAGCATTTCATTCCTGTTCTTCCACAGGTGAGAAAATGGGCTCCGAAGCTGAGGGAAGATTGCACACGATCCATATCAGTCTGGCTACCACACAGCTCCTTTGTTTATTATTTGCATTGTAGTTTAAATACTATTATCAGCAGGGAGACGAGATAAACTGCAAGAAATCAAATGGGGATCTAAGGAAATGACTCCGTAAGTGCTTGCTTTGTGAGCCTCAACCCCTGAGTTGAGATCCTTAGCATCCACAGAGAAAGCCAAGCACGGTGTCATTTGTGAGTAATGTAAGGGCTAGAGAGTCAGAGACAGAAAGATAAGGGGTTGGCTCCCTGGCTTTCCAACCCAGCCAACTGGTGAGCTTCAGATTTGATAAGAGACCCTGCCTCAAAAAAATCAGGTGGAGAAGCCAGGTAGGGGAGCATACATTTAACCCCAGCCCTTGGGAGATCTCTGTCTACACAGCAAATTCCAGGCCAGCCAGGGCTACATAGTAAGACTCTATCTTAAAATAATGGTAGTAAAACAAATCACAACAAGAATAATGTGGACAGGAACAAAGATGGGAGGGGTAATATTTTGGGGAGTCAGAGGTAGTGAGAGAGGAAGTTGGGGCAAATATAATCAAACACACTGTAGGTGTGTTTGAAATTGCCAAAGAAAGTGTTTTAAAATTAAGGTAGAAAATGACAGAGGAAGACGTGATGTACCCCATTCGTGTGTGTACACACACGCACTGCAGAGAGGAACCTGCTATAGGGACCAAGTAGTCTTTGTACCAATTAGATGTTACCAATTAGATGTTCAGTCAGAAAGGAAGAGAAACAGAGTCATTGAGGCTGAAAGGAGTGCCAGAGCTCAGCACAAAGCCTGTGGTGGGAGCTAAGGCAATGGTTCCACATGCTCAGAGTAATCTAATGATCCCTGCAAACAGCCCACAACCAGGATCACAGATTCTGGCTCACGTGTCTTGTCATTGAATTTGTTTGAAAAGACATTGATGCCTGTAGTCCCAGCACTCAGGAAGGCAGAGGCAGGTAGATCTCTATGTGTTGGAAAGCAGCCTGGTCTACAAAGCGAGTCCAGGATAGCCAAAGCTACACAGAGAAACCCTGTCTCCAAAAATCCAGAAAAAAGAGAAAACATTGCCTACCACACCCAGCCACTTCCACTGTGTCTCAGATCACAAAAAAATGATTAAGCAGTATTTAGTGATTAAAAAGAGGGAAGTGAATTTATCAATTAATGAAACCAAGGATTATTTTGCTATATAAAACAATCCTTTCTTTAGCCTCTTGGTTCTTTCTCTGTCTTCCTTAATAAATTTATATTTATTCTGTTTTGTGAAAGAAAAAAAAAAAAGAAAAGAAGAGAAAGAGAAGAAGGTCTGGGACAATGGCTGAATAGTTAACAGCACTTCTAGAGGACCCAAGTTCAATTCCCAGTGCCTGGATTGGCTGGCTTACAACCTCCAGTAGCTCCAGCTCCTCTCTCTCTTTCTCTCTCTATCTCTTTCTCTCTCTCTCTCTGTCTCTCTTTCACACACACACACACATACACACACACACACACACATACAAACATACATACACACAGACAGACATAAATAAAAAGATAAATACCATGGGACCCTATGCCCTCAGCTCCCAAGCAATGATCCAACTGGCCTGTCCCAAGGGCAGCCATATTGGCACTCCCAGCCTCAAAATGCACAAGGAGTATGAGGATGGTATCATCACTGGGCAAAAATTAAATCTTTAGAAGACAAAAACCAAAAAGCATCCAGGCCTGGCAGTATAGTCCTTTAATTCCAGCTGTCTAGAAGGCTCAGACAGGAAAATCTCAAATTCAAGTCCTGCCTGGACTACAGAACAAGTTAAAAGGCCAGAGACAACCTAGTGGGAGTGAGATACTGCCTCAAAACAAAGACGAGGAAGGGGAGGGGGGGAGCAAAATACAGCTCAGTGGTGAAGCATTTGTCTGGCATGAAACGAGGCACCTCCAGTCTCTAAAACCCAAATAAATAAAGAAGAAATGCTCACATATACAAGTAAAACAAGGGTGATCCTGTACTTTCTTAAAGCATTTGCATGAGGCTGTCAAGAGAGACGCTTACTAAACAGAGGTGGCTGTGGGTCTGTCTGCTAACAGTTTCATTATGACCACAAGGCAAGTTCAAGATGAAAGAGGCTTTGTTTTCCCAGAGAGATAACAGTGCAGTTAAAACACTTTGTTGTTGTCGTGATCAAACTACGACCCTAAATTATGGATCCTTCTACCTGTTCAGAGCCCCTGCTCTCTGCCTCTTTTCCTCCATCTGACCTGACCCCCTCTGATTTTTTTCCAGTCTGCCCACTAACATCATTCCTTTGGGTAAAGCTTCTCCAGCCTTCACCTACCTTTCTCTACCTGTCCCGCTCGCCTGTAAGTCAGAATGGGTCTATTGCTTATATGTATGTATACACATTATCTTAGTTATTGTTCTATTACTGTGAAGACACACTCCAAGGAGAATCTTATCAAAGAAAACATTTACTTGGGCGGGGAGGGGGCTTGCTCATAGGTTCAGAGGGTTAGTCTGTGACCATCATGGCAGGAGGCAGGCAGGCATGTGGTAAAGAAGTAGCGGGGAGTTTTACATCCTGATCTGCAAGCTGCAGGCAGGAGAGAAAGGGGACACACACACACACACACACAGAGATTGACTTGGCCTGGCCTGGCATGGGCTTTTGAAACCTCAAAGGCCACTCTCAGTGAAACACCTTCTCCAACAAGGCCACACCTCCTGATCTTTTCCAAACAGTTCACCAACAATGGAATAAGCTTGCAACTATAGGAGCCTATGAAGGACATTCTCATTCAAACCACTATATGTATGTTTCTCACATGACATAAAGCATGCATCATTGCACTCAGAATCTTGCATAAGGTCTAGGTAGGCTAGCTTACAGTGACAGCATCTGGAGGCAGCATTTGGGAGACAGGAAGGTCTTTAGTTTTGTCTTCCCCTCCTCCCCTGTAGTCTCTGTCAGATATTCCTCTTCACCCAGGTCAATAAAGAGTCCACCTAAAGCAATCTGTGTGATAGAACAGCAGAAAGTCAAAGGAAGGACCAGAACCTCCGTTCCCCTATGTTGTTAAGAAAGCCCTTTGTATATATCACCCAATTTCAACAAATGTCTGTTGGGCAATGAAAGGAACATAAATGAAGGTGAATGACCACAACTCTTTTTTGTTTGTTGCTTGTTTGGTTTTTTCAAGACAGGATTTTTCTGTGTAGCCTTAGCTATCCTGGAACTCTCTCTCTGTAGACCAGGCTGGCCTTGAACTCACAGAGATCTGCCTGCCTCTGCCTTCCCAGTGCTGGGTTTAAAGGCGTGAGCTACCACTGCCCAGCCCACAACTTTTTTCTTTTTCTTTTCTTTTTTAAGATTTATGTATTGATTATTTATACAGTATTGTACTTGAATGTGTGCCTGAACACCAGAAGAGGGCATCAGATCTCATTATAGATGGTTGCGAGTCACCATGTGGTTGCTGGGAACAGAACTTCGAAAGAACAGCCAGTGCTCTTAACTCTGAGCCATCTCTCCAGTCCCACAACGGTTTTCTAGTAAGAGTCACTGAGGCATAATTTACTATGCAGTACAATAGTAAATTATATATAAATAAAAAGCAATTCTTTTTATTTCCATCATAAAGTTTGGTTCTTACTATAGTCATTACCATAAGCCCAATGTGAATATTTCTTTCATCTCAAAGTAATTCCCTTTGAGTCCTCATGTTTTTGGATGGCCCCTTTAGGAAAACCACAGGCTAGTGATGCCATAGATTACATAATGTATCCTTGAACAACTTAACCTATATCTCATGTAGCACTGAGACACAAATGCCAAAGAAACTCAGGCATGACTTCCCCAACTAATCTGTATGTTTCCCTTCTCTTCAGAGCCTGCCAGGTAGATGGTTTATACAACAGTGTGGACTGTTGTGTTTTGGTACTGTTTTTGAACCAGAGTCTCATGAGTTCCTGAGGATGACTTTGGATTTCTGGTTCTCCTGCCTCTACCTCCCAACTGCTGGGATTCTAATGCCTTGCTGCCGCCATGTCAGTTTTATGGGTTGCTGACTAGGCAAGCTCTCTGTCAACAGTCCTCAGCCTTAGGTGCATTTCACGAAGGTGCTGCCTATTAGATTCTTCAAACTGGCACAGCACCTTTCTCTTGCTGTTAAGGATGGCTGGATTGTATTTCCTGCCAGTGAACGTTTGCTGTATTTGGATTTGGCCCTTAAAATGAATGGAAGGAGATGGCAAACAAGTGACTGAGTGAATGAATGGGTGAATGACTGAGTGAATGAATGGTTATGTCTTTCTCATAGACCAGGCAGTATCCCAAAGACAAAGTGAAGTGAAGTGTGTGATGCAAAGCCACACACTGACAGGAAGGCAGTATCCAACCCATAGCGAATTTCCCCCTCCCCCAAAAAAAATTCCTCATAAAATATCAACATCAAAGAGTATAAGTGAAAATGAGCTACACAAATTAAATGTTTTTGTTAAATGAATGCACTATACAGAAATTTAGGGGTAAGTTGAGGCATGTTAAAGTAGAAGTCCTTGCTCACCATGACTCCCTTTGCATTGAATGGATTCAGTAAGAATCGTTGCTAAAGATCTTTGTAAGGCTCCTTATGTGTCTTTTACATACTTTGTTTCTGTTCATTTGTTTTCTTTTATTGTGGGGTGTCTGGAGAAAAGGGCACAGTTACCTTCCCTGCTGTTCCCTTATATTTTCAAAGCGGAAGCAAGGATGTCAGAAAAGGGTAAGAGAGCCTCCATTGCTACACCTGCGCAGGCATTTTGTCATTTTATTTTTCAAGGTTTACATAGTTCAGGAACACGATCGATGACATTTCTTTCGCGATGTTTGTATCAGAACTGGAATCCGAAGAGCTTCGTTGAGCATTACCTTACTGGGTCTGCGTTTTACAGGGAACTCTGATTGCCGCTAAGAAAAACCCATTCAAGTGCCCCTCCCAAGGGAGCCAGCAGCTCTCCTGTGCTGTCTGGGGCTCCTGTCCGTGCCCTGCACCTGCTCACGTATGCATGTATGCTTCCCTGCTTCTTCCAGCCTTGCTTTCTCTTTCCCTTTGCCTTTCTGAGGAGGCTCTCCCTCCCTCCCGCTTCTGCTCTTCCTTACTCCTTCCCCCAGCTGCTTAACTACAGATCCCACTGGAACCTACACAATCAAAAACAGCTCTCCTCCAGCAGCCTCCGGGAGCGCATCACCTGGTGCAGAGCGACCCGCTCCCTGCACAGCGGCTGAGCAGCTAGGTAGCTGGGGGGGGGGGGGGGGGCGGGGACGGTACCCTGCTCCCGCCTGAGCGGCCGCCAGAGCATCTCCAGAGATTTGCCGCGTCCCGCCATCCGGCCCCGGGGTCCTGCTGCGGGAATGCTTACGTTTTCAAAGCAATGATGGAGAGAGAAGAGCCGCTGCTAGTGTCGTCTGAAAGTGGGGCGAGTTGCTGCAGCAGAATACGCGAGTGAAGAAGAACTGAGCCCCGTTAGCCTCTCCATCCCGCTCGGTCTTCATTCACCGCCTCCAGGACGTGAATCGGGGAGCCAGATGCGGTAAGCAGGCGGGTGCCACCCTGGATCTGTAACTGTGAAGTCTCTGCTGTGGAAGATGGTAAACAAAGACATGAATGGATTCCCGGTCAAGAAATGCTCAGCCTTCCAGTTTTTTAAGAAGCGGGTAAGGACAGGTTATGCTTGTTGCTTTTGTTTTCTACGCTTCCCTCAGAGGCTTGCGGGTGCTTGCCTAGGGTGAGACTCGGGTTTTGTTCCTCAGCCCTTCGTGAAAGCAGAGCTTCAGTGTCAGTGTCAGTGGTCAAGGTGAGCGCTGACCCTGCGGTGATTCAAATTTGTTGGGGGTGGGAGGACGCTGATGGAAGGGGGGTGGGGGCGGTGGGCTCAGAGGAGTTGCAGTGGAAGGAGGGGGTTGGGCTGAGATGCCTTCAAACGGGTTTAAGATGGGAACTCAGATTTCTCAATCAAAGCCATGCCCAAGATTACAAGGCAGTTTCAAAGAGAGCTGGCCCGAACGCAGTTAACAGCAAGCAATTTAGTCTGGGCTAATTAAATAGCTCCCTCTCTCTTATCTTTGAAGGGTTCAACTTTTCCACACCTTTCCTCTCAAGGACTGCTGCGTTTTCATCTTCAATCTTTAGAAGCAGCTTTGCCTCCTCAAATTCATTCCGTCAGTCATTTGCTGTGTCTCTATCTCTGGTATAAATAGGAAGGGACCAGAGTGACCTCTTACAGAAATGATGGACTCCAACATTTCAAGCCCTCTATTTCAAGTTGCCTCAGTTTTGCTTAACACTTTTCCCCTCACCAAAAAGAAGAGGAGACAGCCTGTTTTATAGCCCGAAGTGTAATCTGGAGGAGGTTGTGCTGCTGTATACGTTTGTTTAAAGTCCTTGTTCTTTCATTCATGGTATTAGTAATGCCACAGGGCTGTAAATAAATAGACCTTTTTCTGTTTCACAGATAAACTCAGTTCATTGCTATGGCCACACTGGAGGTCTGTGGTTCTGCAAATGTATGCATGAGTGGGGGGTAAGAAGGAAATGGTTGTTGGAAGACTGATGATTGACATTTTTGGGAGGAATATTTTTTAAGAAGTAGAAGGCTCCTCCAGCACCCAGCTGACCCATGCTGTTTAGTATCCTGGGGCAGCTCTATCAAAATGCTTATTTCCATTCATCCTTCTCTTCATTCAGGCCTTTTGTGTGTGTGGTGCCTGAAATGGCAACAGAACCTAATGAATTTCCGGCTAGGCTGGACTGCCTCCTGGCCCTGCAGGGTCAAGCTGGAAAGCCCAGTCTACAGAGAGGGAGCCTGTAAGTGCCAGCTGAAGCTCACACATCCTGAGGGCTCCCAAAGTCCAAGGCCAAAAGATATGCCTTGAACCCAGAGTAAAGCTAACTCTTCAGGTCTTTCCCCAGTAGAGCCCACAACCTAGAGGAAAGCCAGTCAGGGCGGCTTCATAGCCCTCAGGTGCTACTTATGTCAAAAGATGTCCTTCCAAGGGAAGAGCCCTTGCATTCAGTACTCACATTGTTACTCACTTCCTACTAACTAGCCAAAGTTTGTTTTTTGACCTGAAGTCTAGCCACAATGACCAGACTTCTTGAAGGCCTGGGCTGAGGTGATACTCCAACCCTGTCTCTTGAGTACTGGAACTGTAGGCATATGTCATCATGCCTATCTTAAGACACTTACTTGGTGGTATTGAGGGTAATTTCTCTTACAGAGGGCCTCAAGCATGCAAGTTCCCTCCCCACACCCTAGTGAACTACACTGGCAGCCCTGGGGGGTTTAGGACCCTTTCAGCCAGGTGTCCTTAATCAAGCAAGTGTCTGTGACCTACTTTTAAAATTTGTATATATTTATGTATGTAAGTAATGGTCTCTTATTTTTCTCTGCCATCAAAATGTACTACTAGAAATACTAGTTTGCCATCTGGTTGCATTTTGCTTAAGAGCATAATTTACCAATGCATTTCAGTGAGTGTTTCTGCAGACCATGGATTTTGGAAAGAGGGAGACAGGGTACAGATGTCTTCTCAAAACTTGCCGAGAGAAAGAAATTTACACCATCAGATCCAGCATGCAATTTCACTGGGCTCCTCTGCTGGAGACTGGGTCAGAAACCTCCCCTTCCCCTCCACTCTCCTCACTCCTCAAGGATACTGTCCTAGCTGAGTAGAAAGTGACTTTGCATCAAGTCATTGACAGTGCTGGGGAGAGGCTCCTTGATTCCTGTCTACTTTGTTTTATTACAGATCTGATTTATTTTGTGTTTGAAATGCTCACTGCTGGTCCTGTGACCTTGCCTTTGTCTTTTTGTTTTGTTTTGTTTTCGTGGTTTTGGTTGATTGATTTGAGACAGGGTCTCTCTCTCTCTCTCTCTCTCTCTCTCTCTCTCTCTTCAAACCCACAATGGCCTCCAACAATGGATGACCTTGAACTCCTGATCATCCTGCCTCTAACTCCTGGGTGTTGTATCAGAGCCTCACTATACATGCTTTTTAGATTAATTTATTATTATTATTACTACGCAGATAATAAGAAAATAAATGTGTAAAATTTGAAGGCAGTAGAGAATTTTGTCTCCCCTTTCTGGAGCTCTTCCTTCTCCCCTCAGAAGTAACTGTTGTCATGTGGATGTTGGTAATTCACCAAACGTCTCTATGTTCTTCACTTACGAATTCATATTCTATAAAGTCTTTGTTTTCAGCAAGAATAATCTGTTTCCTTATGTTCTATTGTTGAAGTTCCACACATTTCTGCATATTTTACTTTTAGCCCAGCTAGACAGACCTACAAAGCAAACTATTGTCTGATGCTCACATTGAACTGTGACCAGAACTGGGTTCTGGGTTTTGGATGGTGATGGTAGAGGGTGAGCATGCACTCACTAAAAAAGACAGCTGAGTCCTGATCCCAATTTTTGAATGCAGAAGGCTGAAGGCTGCTTTCTACATGTCTCAGCCATCAAGTGAAATCCAAGGAGCTCCCAGAAGGGAGTTTAGCTAATGTACTCTGTGGTTGCCTACCAGTAGCCGTTTATTAGTTATGGTTATAAACTGTTAGTTATGGTTACATGTTATAGTTATAAACACGGGACACGTGTTTTACATAGATCATCTCATTAATCCTCACAGCAGCCCACAGAAGAAAAATTATTAGCTGCACAAAGTGTGACTTAGAGAGATTGAACAATTGCCCAAGGTCACATATACTAAAAATAGTAGTGCTAAAACTTATATCTTGTTTATACAAAGATCAAGTCTGGCGGAGCAGTGGTAGTACGCATCTCTAATCCCAGAACTGGGACACAGAGGCAGGCAGATCTCTGAGTTCGAGGCTAGCTGGTCTCCAGAGTTCCAGAAGAGCAAGGACCACACAGGGAAACCCTGTCTCAAGAAACCAAAAAAAAAAAAACCATCAAGTCTGGGTTTTGTTATTGTTTCTGAGCCGGGGCAGGATGGCCTCAACTCAATATAAGGCTGAGGCTGGCCTCAAACCCCTGCCTTCTTTGCTCTGCCTCTTAAGTGCTGAGGTGATAAGGGAGAGGCATACCACCATGCCTAGTTCCGAGTCTGGTATTTTTTTTTTACCTCATACCATTCCCCTCTCCTCTTTCTTTTCTTTGTTTCATATCAGACTCTCCTCCGCCCCCACATGTCACCACCCAATGTCCAAAGCCCAGCCTCAGAAGACGAAGTTCCAATGGCTCCCGAGGCTCCCCTCAGGGGCAACAGTCGCTGGACGAGCAACCTCTGAACAAAGCCAGGTCCCGTGCTTTTTCACGATCCTCTGGGCTAATGCCTTTCACCCTCTTGTCTTAAAAGCTTGACTAAATCAGCTTAATTTCACTCAGCTGACAATTGCAAAGCTAAACTACTAAGACTCTCACTCTATGTGTAAATGACAAATTAGCGCTGGATGTGTGCAGGTTATATTTTCTTCTGAGAGCCTCCAGAATTTCAGTTAAGATGAATGGAAAAAATATCCTTCTTGCTTTTCATGTGAAAATCCGAGAGCTGTAAAATCTATCAGTTCTGATAAAGATAATCCTTTTCCGAGGCTTTAAAGACTCCCCCTGACTTGGATTCCTACAGAATGACCCAGAAAACATAAACAAATGATATTGCTTCAAATTTGATAATCCTTAGTGGAAATACACCAGGTATGCGAAAGAAACCCGATAACAGCCATGCTGCCGTTATTACCTTTTATCAAATTTCAAAGGCGTCTGACAGATAGAATTTCACCTTTGGAGCCAGGAGCCAGGAGCCACAAGCCACAGGGATGGTAGCTATAACCCTAGTATTTGGTGGAATCACCTTGGGTTAGAAGCCAGCCTGGGCTAACCTAGTAATACCCTGACTCAAAGAAAACACACATACACACACACACACACACACACACACACACACACACCAAGCAATGAACTGCAGGCACCCTTTCATAGACCTCCCTGTATTAAAGATGAGAAAATCAATTGTAAGGATATTAACTAACTACTTAGATTAGAATGGGGTTAAGCTAGCTTTATGTTCAAAGCTTTTCTTTGCAGACCTAGAATGACTTCTTCATTATGCTATAAAACTAGTCCTGTCTCATTTACCCCCTTCAACACAGTAGGGACAAACTTGGTTGTTAATTCTGCTGTTTTGTCTTCATGGAGTCAATCTCAGACTGCTCATCAACTTAGACAAGAAGCTTGTATCTTGCCTGGGTGTTTTATGACTATGTGAATTTGAGCAATCCCTTCTATTGTTTTTTAGTAACAATAGCTTTTACAAAAACTGTCACTAATATGACACTGATCTCAGAAGCAGCAGAATACGCGGAGTGGTATACCCTCTCAGAAAGCAGCCTGTCTGCTCTGGTGAAACCCTGATTCTTCACAACACAGCCAAAAGCAATTTTGTGATAAATCAGTATGAAGTGAAGTTGGAGCTTATTGTTTTTGTTAGTTTGTTTGTCTGTTGTCTTGTTGAGACGTGATCTCATCTTGTGGTCTCAGGATAATCTGGGGCTCTCTGTGTAGTTCCGGCTGGCCTCAAACTACTTGCTACAACTTCCCAGGTGTTGAGAGTGGGGAGGTGAGTCACCCTGCTGGAGAAAACTTGAGGTTCTGCTATCAAGGTACTAACCAAATCAGCCCTGCTTACCATCC